AAAAATCTAAATACATGGTTAAATTCAGCATATCAAAGAACCCCATATATTCAATTTTTGTTGAAATCAAACAAAGTTTAATTTTGGACCCCAATTTGGACCAACTTGAAAACTGGGCAAAAAATCAAAAATCTAAATACATGTTTAGATTCAGCATATCAAAGAACCTCATATATTCAATTTTTGCTAAAATCAAACAAAGTTTAATTTTGGACCCATTGGACCTTAATGTAGACCAATTTGAAAACTGGACCCAAAATTAAAAATCTAAATACACTGTTAGATTCGGCATAACAAATAAATAAATGTGATCAAAGATTTTACAAATCTAATGCGCCATACTGTGCAATTAAAGATTACTTCTTTAAATTTTTCAATATTTGAAATTTGAAAAAAAAAAATATTTGACGAATAATTCTTTTTAATTTCTGAAATCTGAAATGAGAAAAAATTGACCCCCCACAATTTCTTTTTATCCCCCCCCCCCCCCTTTTTTCCCCAAAAAAATTCTTTCTCTCAAGATATGGTCATAATCTCAATTCAAATTTCCAATGGAGTTTGCAACCATAATTACCCATTTAAATTTACCATAGTGCTAACTTAATCTATTTTATAATAGAATTTAAAATATAGTGTCAAATCTTTCATATGGATTTTTTTGTAAAAAAAAAAGATGCAACATTTGCAGATATTTTTACTGGTCTTCCTTTTTAAATATGCATTTCTTTAAACATAATTTAAAAGCAGTGTAAGGGAAGTAACCAAAACGTTGTATTTGGATTAACTCCCTTACACTGTTTTAAATTATCTTAATTGTTCATTAACCATTACTTTATACATAATTTAAAAGCAGTGTAAGGGAGATAATTTCAATGATGTATTTGATTTATCTCCCTTACACTGCTTTAAATTATGTTTTGTACTTAAGTATTTGTCCATTAACAAGGACAACCTTGTTTTCCCCCTTTTTTGCCCCTAATTCTTAAACGGTTTGAGCAATAACCCCCCAAAGCAAATCCTAACCATCCCTTTGTGGTATGGAAACTTGTAGTATAATTTCAGAGAGATCCATACACCGTTCCACAGTTATTGTCTGGAAACTAGAAAATGCTTATTTTTTGCCCCTTTTTGGCCCCTAATTCCTTAACTGTTGGTACCATAACCCCCAAAATCAATCCCCACCTTCCTTTTGTGGTATTGAACCTTATGGTAAAATTTCATAGAGATCCATTCACTTAAACTAAAGTTAGAGTGCGAAAACTAATGCGTCTTCGGACGACGACGCTGACGACGCCAACGTCATACCAATATACCACAAAAAAAATTTTGCGGTCGTATAAAAATTACTTAATATTTAGAAGAAAATAAAAATTTTGCAATTTTTCCATTTCTTAAGGGGCATAACTCTAGAATGGTTAAACTGACGCCACAAAAATTCAAAATTGATCTGTGTTTTGTGGTAATAAGCATTGTGTATAAGTTTCATAACATTTGGTTGAGGCAAACTAAAATTAGAGAACGGCAACGAAAAATTCAGCAATTTTTCCATTTGTAAAAGAGCATTACTCTAGAACGGTAAAGTGACACCACCAAAATTCCTGTACAGATATTTTAGTATTTATGGAGGATAGATAATAAATGTAAAATATTGTTTTATATTCAAAAAGAAAAAATTACAATAAAAATAAAAATTTAATATCATGAATATGGGATCAACTTTTTTTTAACTTGAAAATGAAAGAAAGACGATTTTTAACAATGTACTGTAAAAATGTGTTGCCAATGATAATAATTGTGTTTGTGCCAATAAACTATTCGTATTTGTATTTGTAAACCGTAAATATTTTATTTTATTCAAAATTATAACAACCAGGACTGTTTTCAATCGAAGTTTTAATCAAAATGTTGAGACATCAATCCCGTTAATTATACGGGTTTTCGTTGATGGTTACAATATTTCCCCCTTTTAACGTCCTGTTCCTTAGAGTTATTAAAAGAAACACAATTTTAAGTATAAGGCCAACATATCATATTTATAAAGTATATAAACAAATTGAATATAGGCATTGTGAATAAACTGTTATTTTCCTTTCGATACCACGTTCCCCGTCGGAGCCTCTACGTCTATTCATACCTGTCAATCATTTCTCGCAAGTAAAACAATTTGGTCTTCGATATCATCCGTGCTTTCTATTTTGACATATATTTCCCGTTAATCTCTTTGAAACAATTGTTTTCTTTTACAATATTTATAACGCAGTGATCATCTTTCGATTCCTAGTTTTTATATAAAAAAAACTTCATATGCACGTCAATATTCTATGACCCAGCACTATTTTAAATTTTGTTTGTTATTAAATTACATATAATAGAAATAACAGATTTGTTGACACTCGTTGTATTATAACAAAGATATTGCCTTTCTATTTCCATGTTTGAAATTTTAATGAAAATTGTGTTTTTATAAACATATTTTACGAATTGTGTCAATCAATACATGAAGATCAAAGTTTTACACTATTCATGATTAGCCGTCTTTACTTTTGTGTCGTATTTCTAGCCATTCTCTAAAGCTTGTGCAGTCAGTAAGATTTTGTAAATCGATGTCGGCAGTTTAAATTGTATAATTTCCTTTAAAGGAGGTGTCCGAATAAATTATTTAAATAGGAATCTGGGTGTTGACTAATAAATATAATAAATAAAATAGTTAAAGAAGACTAAAGCTTGTTTTTTTTTATAATTACAAGGATTAAATTTTCTATTCTGGTAAATCAATTATTAATGGATCTCGATCAAGAGCCTCAAAACTAACGCACAATACTGCCAATCATTACGTATCAAATTAAATCATGAATGGATTTTCCCACGGTCGGTCAGTAAGGTCACCTGTGTTAACTGTTACGATATTTCCCGCCATATGAAAATCACGTGCATTTGACAAAATTAATCCCAGCTATTTTTAGCATTCAACATTGTATTGAGAGTGAAGTCAAGTTCAAAGTTCAACCACATGCTGTTGATCACTGATATGTGTATCATGGAATTGTCTTTTCACGGCAAATATGTTTTTAGATTGGTGTCAAAAATACAACATACAAGTTAACATGCATTGTGCGTAAATTAATATTATTCAATTAAGAGTCAATGAAGCACCATAAAATTATTTAAATAGGAGTAATTGCATTATTTAGACTACAAATCATAGTAAATATTTAATTAACTGGTCATCAAACGATTGAATGCTTCTAGTTTTAATGTCCATTCATGTCAGTGACAATTATTTCATGCATATTTAACAAACACAGAAATATCAAAATAAATCAATTCCCGAGAAGAATCGTTATCTTCTTCTAGTGTTATTATTTGCGTACTACTTTAGTTATATATCAACAACTTTCGGACAATATTTGTTTACAGTAAAAAGTAAATTCACAATTATAAAGAATCACCAAACTACTAGTATACAAGTATTACTCACTGTAATTATTTTTATTTCAGAACTGACCCAACGCAGACTGAAAATTAGATACAAATGTAGTGTTGTCAAACTAAAACGTATGCAGCAGCACTTTGCACATCATTCTGCTAATCAATGGGTTTACGTGGAAAATAAATCAGTAAAACAAAAATAACCTTCCAGAAATAAAAAAGAAAATATTTTAAAAACTGTATGCCAACAAATACGAAAAAAATACATAACAAAAAAAAACCAGGGAACATAGAAAATAATATTTTCAGGAATATAAACAGCATTTGAAATATAAAAAGCCATAATTAAAAAATAGGCTATTTTTATTTAAACAAAGTTGTCTCCAGTACTTCACCTGTAAAAATATTTTATGTCAAATACGATGTAGAACTAATCAATAAAGTGAATGAGAGGTTTAAATCACAGGTAACCCGATTCTGAAATCAGTGAAGCGTAATAATCTAGTAGCACGGATTGAGATGAAAGGACAATTATATTACCGTTCACACCTGGATCTGTTGATTAATGACCATACTACCTACCATAAAAAAGTCGGATTATTCATTTCCGACATGTCCCAGTCCGTTATTTATAGTAATAAGTCTCTACCCGTACTGTAATAAGCATTTTGTATAAGTTTCATAACATTTGGTTGAGGCAAACTAAAGTTAGAGAACGGAAACGAAAAGTTCAGCAATTTTTCCATTTGTAAAGGGGCATAACTCTAGAACGGTAGAAGTGACGCCACCAAAATTCAAATTTGATCTTGTGTTTTGTGGTAATAAGCATTGTGTATAAGTTTCATAACATTTGGTTGAGGCAAACTCAAGATAGAAACGGAAACGAAAAATTCAGCAATTTTTCCATTTGTAAAGGGGCATAACTCTAGAAGGGTAAAAGTGACGCTACCAAAATTCAAACTTGATCTGTGTTTTGTGGTAATAAGCATTGTGTATAAGTTTCATAACATTTGGTTGAGGCAAACTAAAGTTAGAGAACTGAAACGATAAATTCAGCAATTTTCCATTTGTAAAGGGGGCATAACTCTAGAACGGTAAAAGTGACGCCACCAAAATTCAAACTTGATTTGTGTTTTGTGGTAATAAGCATTGTGTATAAGTTTCATAACATTTGGTTGAGGCAAACTAAAGTTAGAGAACGGAAACCAATTTTGGGACGTACGTACGTACAGACGGACAAGGGTAAAACTTTATGCCCCTTCCGCTATGGCGGGGGCATAAAAAAGTCTGGAAAACTGATTTGCCGGACTGACGGATGGACAGACGGACGGATGGACAGACAGACGGACAGAGTGCAAACCTAAAGTCCCCTTCTACTTCGTCGGTAGGGGACTTAAAACTTATCAAAAATTTATGTAGTAAAAATTCTGAACAGCTTTAGGACTAAAACTTTTCTCTAAAGTTTTACATTTTCCAGTACTTTGAAATTTCTGCTTGATCATTCTCAACGTCCTGTAAGAATCCTGTTTTTCAGGATAGGCTATAGATTCTCTATGCATCATAAGAACACATTTTGATCTTTGAGTTATTTATTATGGATCTTTCTTATAAAATATGAAATTCATTATCTTCAAACAGGACACATCACATAATAATACTAATATCACACACACTTGTAGCACTGTCATCAAGGGGTTTTGTTCGTCAAAAATGAAATAAATAAAAATGTATGCAAGAAAACATAGTTTTCATTTCTAGGAAATAATGTATGTAAATTCACTTTAATTTTTCGCCATATACAAACTTGAAATTTTATATTTCAAGCAGCCATCATAAAATTATGAATGGATTTCGATTTTACAAGATCATGAAACTGTATGAACACATTCTCACTGAGAACAACTCATACTGAACATTTAAATAAGCAGAAAATACAATAAATAAAGTCAACAGTGTTCAAGGCTCTGGTCCCTCTGATGCTTGGGCTTCTGGTGCTGCTTTAGCTGGAGCATTAGCGTCAGCTTGTTTCTTTGTACCTGAGACGATATCATCTATCCTCAATAATAACATGGCAGTCTGAAATCAAATGTAAACAATAAGAGGGAAACATGGGTGCATGAGGAAGACAAAAATCCACTATGATTCTTGAAAGATAATATATAGAAAATCTACACTATAACAGTGGTGAATGGAACTTAGTTTCAAGGTGCTGGGTGCAAAATACTTATATTCAAGTTATCTATAGACAATATATTTGTTTGTGAAAATACTGGTTTTACCCTTTTTTGTCAGCTTTCTGAGATATTTTCCAGAGGCTTCAATTCCTTTTGATTTATATTAAAGCTCTATCTTGAAAAGGATTTTAAGAAACCTGATTGATTGTTGTTTGCTTTACGCCCAGTGGCAAACATTTCATGCATATTAAATACAGAATAATGTGAGACTGAAAAATCTATATCTTTTCCTATTAGAGAAAAAAATCATTTTCAAATTCCATATCAGAATTAGCAATTAAATGCATATTCAAGACAAGAACATGCTAATGTGATATAAATCTAGACCCTGCTTTGTACTAGACCGACAAGATAAGCCTGATTTTTAACATGCTAGTTCACAAGGTAACAGTCGGCAGGAAGTCTTGTCACACTACCAAGACACATTCTTCTGAATCCGAAGACCACCAGTCCTTGCTCTTGCTCCTAAATGCTGTGTACTAGGCGGAGAAGCAGCAAATAACCATTTTAAAGTCTTTGGTTTGACCCAGCTGTGGATTATACCCACAACCTCTTTCACTCGAGTGAAAATACTACCATGAGACCAACAAGGAGTTAAACAACAAAGTATTTCACACTAAAAATGGAAAATAATCATGTGCAAACATAGCTCTTAGAATGTACTAAAATTCCATTGCAGGACAAATTCTTATGACCTGCCATACTCTAGGCCAGCAAGCTACCGGGGACCACACAGGTAGTCCAATTTTTGACCTTATCACTTTGTATGCTTTGTATTTAAAAAGTTGCTTTGCCACCTACCTCAAGTGCGGTTTTAAGTGTCTGAACTTTTACAGAGAATGGCTCCCATATACCATATTCTTTCATGTCAACAATTTTACCATTTTCTCCATCAATACCCCATGATGTGTTGTCAGGAGATGCATGTTTAGCCTAAAACAGAATTATATAATGCAATCTTTTGTTCATTTCGGAGAAAATATTTGCTGTACGAACAAAAAGTTTGATGCTAAACACATTAGTGAATCAGAAAACATATTTTCAGGTAAAAAGCTACGACATTCCATCATTAATTAAACAAGCAATGTGAATACATGAAAACAATTTGTTACTTTTTTGGACAGGCTGTATTTATTCCTAAATTATTTTTCCTTTCAATTTTGTTCTACCGTATATGAGTTTTTTTTTCGCATGTGTTTAATTTTCGCTTTGTTGGCGACACCTAAAGAAACGCGAAAATTTAACCTGGCGTAAATTTCCCTGCATATTCCTTGACTTATCGCTATCTAAACTTTTCATATATTATACTGTTAATTGTCGTGTTTACACGAAATTGATATGCAAACTCATTTCACCCTAAAGATGAAATTACAATATCTTTAAAATTAGTCCTTTGTGTTACAACAGATCACAAAAGTGTTCATCATTAATAAAGATCTTTGTTTTCATAATAATTATATTGACTAATCATACATGTCATCCCATTGTGACAACACAGTAATCAATGACATGTCCAAAAACGTTACGGTAGTTAGCGATGATCAATTCAGTGTTATGATGTTTACATCTTTAACAAGTCAATACGTAGATTATTTCCCGTGTATTTTCCCATCCAGCGAAAATTATACAGAGTGAAAATTTAACCTGCCAATTTTGTCATCAAATCGCAAAAAAAAAAAAAACGATATATGTTCTATATATTATAAACAACTTTTTTCTATAACTTGATAACACCATTAAATTGAATTTTTACATTATAATATCGTTTAACAAGATGCAGGGTACCATTCTACTATATAATGGATTCTTACAAAATTCAATTTTCAGTCATACATTTTAGCAATGATCAGTGAAAATTCATTTGGATAAGAAACAAATGATATTAACTTGAATCAAAGTTTGACATGAATCGACTGATGCAAAGTATTTAGGCCAGTTAATTAAGAAGACTAATTATAGACTGATCAATGTGTTTAACATGTTTTTGGTCATACTGAATATACTAACCCTGAGTGCTGTAAGTGTTCTAATTGGGTTGGCTCCACAGTTCTGTATTAATGTACGTGGAATAACTTCTAATGCCCTAGCTACAGCTCTGTATGGCCATTGACTTACACCTGTTATTGCCTTAGCTTTCTCATTCATAGCCTGTAAAGACAAAAAGTCAGAGATATTTGTACAATGAAACTATCAATCAAGTTCAAACAATGCAAAAGATACAAAAGGTTATATCCTATAATGGTTTACTTTTACAAATTTTGACTTGGATGGAGAGTTGTCTCATTGGCACTCATACCACATCTTCTTATATCTATATAACTCACAAATATATACCCTTGTTTTTTACTGTATCATAAATGTTGTTATACATGTAATGTAGTATCAATTATGAATCAATGAATAATTATGATATAAATTTTTTAGCTCCTCCAATATATAATTTTACTCCATTACTATGCATTTAATAGGTAGCCACTGCCTTCCCAATAACTGATCAAAGTCCTCAACATTACCAGAGCCCCAATACTTTCCTTACCTGAGCTAAAGCCATTTCTGCAGCTCCTCCACCAGCTACTAATTTAGGTTCTACCATCACATTTCTAGCTACGTTCATTGCATCTTGTAAGTTTCTCTCTACTTCATTAAGGATATCTTTACTAGCACCTCTCAGTAAAATATTACATGCTTTGGGATTTTCACACTCTACCAAGAATGTAAAATATCTGAAAGGTAATAAAATATTTTTTTTAAATACAATTGTGTATAAGTTGTATTGAATTAAAAAAAAACAGTTTCTGTGCTTCAAGTGCCTTTCAATGTCCAAGAATCACAGTAACAGATCTAGACTGTTCATATTACATGTATACAGCAGGTGAAAATATATCAAGGTTACACAGTGTGGTAGTATATATAACACATAACTAAAACAACATTTAGTGGCAATTCATTGCAGAATACTCTTTATATCACTAATCATGGAAATCTTAGTACAATTTTTTTTCTTATTGTAATAATTGAAACAAAAACATTGCAAATGAGACAGTTAAATTAGGATCAGAAATCAAGAGAATTATAACTTTAACAACTACTCTCCATGCAAATAATTTACCTTGCCATTTAAAACTGCCATATTTTGTATATCAAAATGAAAAAGAAAGGAGTAGAGCCAGGAACACCAATAAACGGCCCTGCAAAGGTGTTTTTTTCTAACTTCAATTATTAAGTAAACCTAATGGTTATGCATTGCTAAATGTATGATATTTAAAAGTATAAAATGAAAATTGTATATCTGCTTCATATTTATAAATATATTAGCCTGAAATAGGAATAGATTTAATTTTCGTCTATTTTTCTAGAAATTTTTTCAGAAAACTGTCATAAATTTTGCAGAATTCTGCAAAAAATCAGGTTTTTACGAAATTCCCCTTCATTATGACGTCACTAATGATACAATTGGTGAAAATATTTTTTTCAACTGAAACAATTGGACATTTTAACATGTTTCCCTACATTACCACAGTGAAAATTTCAGATTTGTAGGGCCAAAATTATGAGTTAGTGGACCAACTCCTAAAATTTTAGCTGATGCAACAATATGAACAATACTTTTCACTTATTACAAAAAGAAAGATGTAAACTAGTACAATTGTTTCTTCTTGCTCTTTATTCTTCAGTTTCTTTGAAAATTTGGTATAGCAAACTTTACACAATAATTACTTTTAATGTGATCAATCTTTAAAACTAATTATATAAAATATTAATCACATTCAGCCATGTCTTCATAAATCACCACCTCAAATTTACAGATACCGTAAATTGGGTTATTTTGGTTGTAGTTTTATTTTGGTTTATTTGGCACCTCCAAAGAAAGTGCCAAAATTAAACACATGAAAATACATAAACACTAAAAATTTAAAAGCCAAATTCGTGTACCGGCATAACAATATCGTATTGTTAATTGTTGGCATTAATACCTAAGTACATGTAGCAAACATGAAAAGTGTTCCTAATGCAGGTAAAAAAGTTCCCTCCAGTGTTTCTTTATCTTTAGATAATAAAAGAGAAATTACAGGTAAATATTTTATGCTATTATATCTTTTGTATATTTCCTAAAGTTCTATGCATACATGTAGCAAAATCTACAAATAAATACCGGGTATAATTTGACAACAATATGATATAATTTTATCATAATTGTCAATTTCTAAAATTGTTAAGAAAACAAAATATGAATTTCTATTCACACATGCCGTAAATATACATTGCTGATTGGACACCTTTATTGATCATTAGAATATCAACCGTCCTTGTAACATTTGATCTTCAATAAATTAACATGTGCTGCCAGAGGCATGAGGATTAAAATTTAAATTCACGGTATTGCATGTAGAGGCAGAACTTTGATATACCCAGGATGATTTAGAACTAGATACATCTTTAAAACACTGGTCTATTGTTGAAGACATTGTTATTGACCTCTTAGATACCTCTTTGTTGTTTCTGTTGTATGGTTGCCGTCTCGTCTCGTATCATATATACCCCACATCATATTTTATTCATATTTAGTGCCCTCATCAACATCTCACCTTGCTATTCTGTTATTATCAGATTTCCTGACCCTTCGTATCACACTTATTCCTGCTTTAACAAGGAAATGTTGAGCTAGATCTGAGACACCTTTCTCTGTAATTATCAAGTCTGGTTTGAATTGTATTACTTCAGCACAGATCTTTTCTATATAGTCTTCTTCCATCTTTAAAATTTTCCTAAAATAATAATTCATTTTTTGCCTACTTAAATCTTGGAATAAAAAAAATACATTTGATAAAATATAACTCTCGT